AGAAAACACTTCCAGGGCGTGACGAGTATGATGTTGTGAAGGCGCTACGACGTGAGGCGAAAGTTAATGACACGTCCTCTGTAAATGACTGCCAAGGCGGTCAGAACTGTGAGGAATATAACGGAAAGAGTGGTCGGTGACATTTCTGTCCACGAGGTTCAATCCCTATGTGTGAGGTAAGTGATGTGACTGTCTACAGGGGTTGCACGCTAGATGTCACTGCAACGGTTTCAACAAAGGGTAGCACCTTCGACTCAAGGTAACAGTTTACGAGTAAGGATAGCACATCAATGTCAAGGTAACAGTTTACGATAACGGGTGGAACGCTCAATGTCAAGGTAACACTTTACGATAACGGGTGGAAAGCTCAACGTCAAGGTAACAGTTTACGATAACGGATGGAACACTCAATGTCTCGGTATCAGTTTACGATAACGGGTGGAACGCTCAATGTTAAGGTAACAGTTTACGATAACGGGTGGAACGCTCAATGTCACGGTAACAGTTTACGATAACGGGTGGAACGCTCAATGTCCCGGTAACAGTTTACGATAACGGGTGGAACGCTTAATGTCCCGGTAACAGTTTACGATAACGGGTGGAACGCTCAATGTCCCGGTAACAGTTTTCGATAACGGGTGGAACGCTCAATGTCAAGGTAACACTTTACGATAACGGATGGAACACTCAATGTCTCGGTAACAGTTTACGATAACGGGTGGAACGCTCGATGTCAAGGTAACAGTTTACGATAACGGGCGGAACGCTCAATGTCCCGGTAACAGTTTACGATAACGGGTGGAACGCTCAATGTTAAGGTAACAGTTTACGATAACGGGTGGAACGCTCAATGTCAAGGTAACACTTTACGATAACGGGTGGAAAGCTCAATGTCAAGGTAACAGTTTACGATAACGGATGGAACACTCAATGTCTCGGTAACAGTTTACGATAACGGGTGGAACGCTCGATGTCAAGGTAACAGTTTACGATAACGGGTGGAACGCTCAATGTCACGGTAACAGTTTACGATAACGGGTGGAACGCTCAATGTCAAGGTAACAGTTTACGATTACGGGTGGAACGCTCAATGTCAAGGTAACACTTTACGATAACGGGTGGAACGCTTAATGTCCCGGTAACAGTTTACGATAACAGGTGGAACGCTCAATTTCACAGTTACAGTTTACGATAACGGGTGGAACGCTCAATGTCACGGTAACCGGTAAAATTTAGATTTGGTAACGTTATGGCAACTGCAATTTAAGTGAGGGGGTTATCCCCAGTGACAAATGTAAACGGTTAGACTCTATGTCTCGTATCATATTTAATTCTTGTACGAGTTAAGCTCAATGAAATGAGTGTGAGTGAGTGAGTTTGGTTTAACGCCGCTTTTAACAGTATTCTAGTTATATCACTGCGTGTCAGGTTAATGTGGGAGGAAAGCCCGAAGTGATGCAGGTCTCAGACGTTTACCATTTCGATGAAACCCACGAGCACGGGTATGCTGCTGACAAACCAAGAAACATAATCGGGGCGAACCGGGATTCGAACCCACAATCATAGGTTTCTGGCATGCCCAAGGGACGCAACTCTGCACAGCGAATCGCGGCGCCTTAGACGACTGGGCCACCCGTGCCCCCTCAATGAAATGAATACTTTTTACCTGTTCCTTAATAATTATAGATTTATCATGTTCACATTGGAAGGACTACTTCTATTAACCAAACATTACGAGGAACTAACTTGAACATAATTGCAACCACAAAGTAAATACATTTCACTGTCCTATATGCTGATATCTATTACAAGTGCTACAGAATAAAGCAATACCCATTAGACATCACGCATGTCTCAATTTAATAAGGAACCATTGACTGTATACTCTGAAAAAGAAGGATAATTTAGTCTAACCCTTCTGAGATTCTGGAACTCACAGCCAAGACTGTACTCATTGTGCTCTACGCTTCCAACGCCATGGACAGTGAAAAGAATTAACGTGAAACTGCCAATTCTAAGCGTTCGCAACAACATAATGCTTACAAGTGTGATTGAATTCCCCGCTGCAACAGCACGCGTTGGTCAAGTTAGAAACACCACTTGACAGGCCGACGGATGGACAGATCATTTCCTGAGGAGCACGGCCGTGTTCCCATTCAGGGTTATTGTAAGGGGACGCTCTCACCCGCCGAATGTCGTGTAGGGCAAGAGTATAAAAACGTATTTGCTATATTACAGTTACTCTGATAATCAACCAATGCAAATCACATCCACTCACTTAATGCATGCTGTTACTCTGTTAAATCGCCTTTTACTGTGCTTAATCGCCTGTTACTGTGCTGAATCGCCTGTTACTCACTAAATACATGCTGTTGCCCTGCTAAATCTCCTGTTACTGTGCTTAATCTCCTGTAACTCTGCTAAATCTCCCGTTACTATGCTTAATCGCCCGTTACTCTGCTTAATCGCCCGTTACTGTGCTAGATCTCCTGTTACTCTGCTAAATCTCCCGTTACTATGCTTAATCGCCTGTTACTCTGCTTAATCATCTGTTACTGTGCTAGATTGCCTGTTACTGTGCTAAATCTACTGTTACTCTGCTTAATCTCCTGTTACTCTGCTTAATACATGATGTTACTCTGCTTAATCGCCTGTTACTGGGCTAAATCTTCTGTTACTCTGCTAAATCGCCTGTTACTGTGCTAGATTGCCTGTTACGGTGCTAGATTGCCTGTTACTGTGCTAAATCTCATGTTACTCTGCTTAATCGCCTGTTACTCACTTAATATTGCTGCTACCTTGCTTAATCTCGTGTTACTCTGCTAAATCTCGTGTTACTCTGCTAAAGCTCCTGTTACTATGCTTAATCTCCTGTTACTCTGCTTAATCGCCTGTTACTCTGCTTAATCTCGTGTTACTCTGCTAAATATCGTGTTACTCTGCTAAAGTTCCTGTTACTATGCTTAATCTCCTGTTACTATGCTTAATCTCGTGTTACTATGCTAAATCTCGTGTTACTCTGCTAAAGCTCCTGTTACTATGCTTTATCTCCTGTTACTCTGCTTAATCTCGTGTTACTATGCTAAATCTCGTGTTACTCTGCTAAAGCTCCTGTTACTATGCTTAATCTCCTGTTACTCTGCTTAATCGTCTGTTCCTCTGCTTAATCGCCTGTTACTCACTTAACGCATGATGTTACTCTGCTAAATTTCCTGTTACTCTGCTATATCGCTTGTTACTCCTCAATCCACACTGTTATTCTGCTTAATCCACACTGTTATTCTGCTTAATCCACACTGTTATTCTGCTTAATCCACACTGTTACTCTGCTAAATCTCCTGTTACTGTGCTTAATCTCCTTTTACTCTGCTTAATCGCCTGTTACTCTGCTTGATCGACTGATACTGTGCTAGATCGCCTGTTACTGTGCTAAATCTCCTGTTACTCTGCTTAATCTCCTGTTAATCTGCTTAATCGCCTGTTACTCTGCTTAATCGCTGTTACTTGCATAATGCATGATGCTACTCTGCTAAATTTCCTGTTACTCTGCTAAATGGCCTGTTACTCTGCTAAATCAACACTGTTATTCTGCTTAATCCACACTGTTATTCTGCTTAATCCACATCGTTATTCTGCTAAATCTCCTGTTACTCTGCTTACTTTACATCGTTATTCTGCTTAATCCACATCGTTATTCTGCTTAATCGCCTGTTACTCTGCTTACTCCACATCGTTATTCTGCTAAATCTCCCGTTACTCTGCTAAATCGCCTGTTACTCTGCTTAATCCACACTGTTATTGTGCTGAATCTTTTTTTATTATGTTACATTGACAATCACATATGTTTGTGATATTGCTCGTAATTCATAGCCCATGTTCTTTGTATAAATCACCACTGCTATTCTGCTTAATCCTATGTTTCCAGTGTTGACACCCATCTGTCGCTATATTGAATTTCCTGTCACCCCGCTGACGCTCATCTATCAGCCTGATAATCGTGCTATTTCGTCAGTCTCTGTTACCATTTCTTGTTCCAGCACTTTAACCAACACGCCGTAAGATGGAAGGAACGCCATTAACTCATCTTTAATGAAACTACAAATTATATGAATATGCCACTTGCTTAAAACCAAACACACTCAAAACCCACAAGGTGATTTTGATAACAAGTGGTACATTATTATGGGTTAAACGAAACGATGCATAAAGTGATGTTATAATATTCGGACATAAGTTAACTAAGTGTTATATTGGAATGAAGTTTCTTCTCGAGGGGAACACATGTGCACAAAAAGTGATTGAAAAAAACCACTTGGCGTGAGAGTTTCCTATAATTAGATGAGATTATTTTTCAAAGAACAAAACGTGACAGAATCATATGATTGTGAGATCGAATCGCCGATGATTCTTGGTTTGTCAGCATTATATCCGTGGTCGTTGCTTTCACCCAGATGGTATACATCCTACTGCTTCTGTTTGGCTGAGACTCCATGATATTAACGAAATACGCTAACGTCAATTCACTCACCTGAGAATAGTCCTGAAAATTAATAATCCATTGCACCAAAGGTCCAACATGTTGCATGTTTGTATCAGAGATTATATGATTTTTGTGGCCCAATGAAGGATGTGTTTTATGGTAAGTTCACAACTATTTGATCGGAATAACATCATCCTGATTATGTTGGCTATATCTCTTTGGTGTATTGGAATTCGTTTTAATGTACCATACTGTTAGAATATATAACTACAAATTTCTCATCTTAGAACATTTCTTTGTGAGGCGCGTGTGGTGTGGTGATCCAACTCACGGGAGAAAACAGGATCCTATGTAGTATGTTTTTTGTTTTTGTTCAAAAACACGCGCGATAACGGCAGTTCTACCCGCCAGACAGACATGTAAGAATGACACGTGAGATTATATCCAACATGCATTCATAAGCAACATATCTTTATCTGAGAACTGACAAATAAAATTAGAAGTGCATTGAGATACTCACCTAAAGGCAAGACGAAGAAGAAGGGGAACCAGCATAATATAAACACCCCTACTACAATGCCCAACGTTTTGGCAGCCTTTTTCTCTCGTTTAAACTTGGCAATCCTTCCTGCTAATGTAAGTCGTGAGGCGGCTTTGCGACCCGACCCCTCAGAGTGTTCGCTGGAACTGCTACTTTGGTACATTGGGGAGGGGGTTTGAGGGCTTTTACCCGTATGAATGCGTAACGTCACTCCCTCAGATTCATCTATTTTAGAAGTTTTTACACCCGTGGACAAAAAGTTTGAATGTTTAACAGCCTCTTTATATATCCGTATGTACACAACCATGATGATGAAAGTTGGTATGTAAAATGAACCAGATACAGAAAACAGCACATATCCAAGCTGTGTGGTGACGCTGCACACCATTGGGTTGGGGTCGGCCGGTTCCTTCCACCCTATCAAAGGAGCTATTGAGATCGTCACTGACAGTATCCATACAAGCAAGATGATATACACGGCACGTTTCTCAGTCATGATGGTAGAGTGTTGAAGGGGTCTGGTCACCCCGATGTACCGGTCTATACTGATGACACATAGACTCATGATGGAGGCGGTGCAACACAAGACATCAATGGCGGCCCAAACATCACAGAATATCTGACCAAAAGCCCAGAAACTTAAAACTTCCAGACTCGCAGAGAAGGGCAGAACTGTCGTGCCCAAGAGGAGATCAGCTATAGCCAGATTGACAATGAAGTAATTAGTGGTGCTTCTGAGGTGAGAGTTGACAAACACGGCCAGCAGCACCAGCACATTGCCACACACAGTCATGACCACTATTAGCCCCAGAATTAGCCCCACGGGTATGGCTACTCTGAGGTCGATGACCCCTTCACCTGGGGATGTGGAGTTGGCGGTAGTATTATCCGAAAAAGTTGGAGTTGTGTTTAATGGGAATTCTTCCATCACACGTACACATACGTTCGTGAGACATGAAAGAACATGTTTGTAGTGAGAGGATGCGTTAATCCTTTGTATTATCCAGACTTCTGTGCCTCTTTCTTCAATACTGAGATCACATCAGTCACATTCTGGGGTAACCAACTCGCAGTACATCATCACGTCCCTTAAGAAATTAAAACGGCTCCCATGTCTTCACAATCTGAAAGTAAAACAAAAATACTGTGAAAACAGCAAACAACAATTTACCCAATTTTCGCTTTTTATCAGTAATATAAGGCTCACTGAATTGGAAAACATGTAAAAACCGTTTGCTTCATTGATTTCAGAGGATGTAGAAATTGAATAGCTGCTTCAGACACCCCCGTGGTTCATACAGACTTGGAGCAGATAAGAACCTTTTCAAAGGCTCATGAGAAGGTTTTCTAGACGACAAGGACTGCTTTCAGATGTTCTCTTGCAGAAGCCAAGTTGAGCAAAAGGAGTTTGGTGTGAGTGGTCGGAGATGAGACTTGTCACTGGACGCACTGGCCAATGAGAGATCTATGTGGGCCGAGCCTTGTATTCCCAGATCAATACTTAACCGTTGGTCGATGCCTGCCTCCCGCCTGACGAACAGAGCTGGTTTAGGGTGTTCATTGACCAGACTGCCTTGAATGAGCCTACTTGTGTGGTGCTTGTGCCACTAGAGAGAGGGTGCCTCTAAGCAACACTGTCCTGTAGGCGTAATTAAGATATTGCCCATCAGGACTTTCACAGCTAGTACTTTTTGAAGGGTAGCATGTCGTCGGTTAAGAAAGGACACTTTTGTTGCATAAGGCGATAGAAATAATCCTTTTGATTATCATAAACATTTCTTGATAGGGATGAAGAAATGGCTGTAGATCCATGTATATTAATTGTATTGCTCTCCGATAATTTAGTGTAGAACAACTTCACTTATCTCGGTCGAATGTGTCAGAGCTTTTGTATTAACCTAATATTTTGACATCGATTTTGACCTTACCTTCTTATCATATCGATAAATCCAAGTTCTTTAGTAACAAAGTATTGCCTTCCCTCTCATAGTTTTTGACTGATTTCATTAATGTCAACTGTGGAGAGTTTGAATGCGTCTCCTGAAACATAACTTCTAGTTAAGTCAAGCATGCCAGAAGACACTTGGAACTCGCGTTATTATGTCAACATCATATAAGCAGTCATATGCGTAAAGGAAGGAAAGCTAAATTCATCCGAGTTCAGTTATTGGAGTAACAACTGATTTGATGCCAGGGATGAACGAATATTTATTTGCTGGTCTAATACCTCAAAATAAACCTTAGTCGATTGCAAACGGTTATCGCCTACATTTATTGAAGTGGCATGCATGTATAATCGGCTAGTCATGTGATGAAATGTCATGTGTAATAGGTCCGTCGATTATTCATGTCAGTTAAGGCTTCAGACACCCCGACATGGTAGTGGACATAAGATATAGACATGGGAGTATGAAGGAGATCTCATGACTACAGCAGCCTTGGCACGACCTGCACATGTGTGTTTCCCATGTAACCAAACAAACTTTTCTGAACCCAATGTCTTTTGTCATTACCAACAGTTACATGTCCAGGTGCAGCAGACACATGCTAGGGTACAAAACAATATATTTGAACCATTTTACACGATATATTACCATAAGGTAGTATCTGACATATTTACTGGATACGTTATTTGTTGGAGAGGCGTAATGGCGTAGAATAAGTGACCTTTTAGGAACACCGAACAAGTCAAATATCATACCAAGTTAAGGAGTTGGTATGGTTTTACGCAGCTTTTAGCAATATTCCAGCAATTGCACGACGGGGAACACCAGAAACGGGCTTCACACATTGTACCAATGTGGGGAATCGAACCCGGGTCTTCGGCGTGACCAGCGAACGCTTTAACAACAAGGCTTCCTCACCACCCCAAAGTTAGGGAAAATTTTGAAATATTTGTATGAAAATGATCAGATAAGTTCATACGGTCATCGGCTTGACATCTTTCCTTTTAACAACTGACATGATCAAATTCATGAATATAAATAAAAGGAAAGTAATGATCCGAATTCACGAACTTGAAGAGAAAATATAAATATATGTAAGAAACGTGACCGTGAATTGTATACCAAATGTTGGTACTCTCTACATCCCCTAGTTACCAAATAAATTGTGTACCAATTGCTGGCTCTCTCTACATCTTCTAGTTACCCAAGATGAATTGTGTACCAAATATTGGTATTGTCTACATCTTCTAGTTACCCTTTATCAATTGTGTACCAATCGTTGGTACTCTCTACGTCTTCTAGTAACCCATTATGAATTGTGCACAAACTGTTGATACTGGCTACATCTTCTAGCTACCCAAGCTGAATTGTGTGCCAAATATTGGTACTCTCTACATCTTCTAGATACCCATTCTGGTACTCTCTACGTCTTCAGGTTACCCATTATGAATTGTGTACCAACTGTTGGTACTGTCTACATCTTCTAGTTACCTAAGATAAATTGTGTACCAATTGCTGGTACTCTCTACATCTTCTAGTTACCCTTTGTGAATTGTGCACCACATATTGGCACTCTCTACATCTTCTAGTTACCCAAGATGAATTGTGTACCACATATTGTGTACCAATTGTTGGTATTCTCTACATGTTCTAGTTACCCAAGATGAATTGTGTACCAATTGTTGGTACTGTACACATCTTCCAGTTATCAAAGATGAATTGTGTACCACATGTTGGTACTCTCTACATCTCCTTGTTTCTCAAGATGAATTTTGTACCAAACATTGGTACTGTCTACATCTTGTAGTTACCCAAGATGAATTGTGTACCAAATATTAGTACTCTCTACATCTTGTTGTTACCCATTATGAATTGTGTACCAATTGTTGGTACTCTCTACATTTTGTAGTTACACAAGATGAATTGTTTACCACATATTGGTACTGGCTATATCTTCTTTTTACCCAAGATGAATTGTTGGTAATCTCTTCATCTTCTAGTTACCCATTATGAATTGTGTACCAATTGTTGGTACTGTCTACATCTTCTGATTACCCAAGATGAATTGTGTCACAATTGTTGGTATTCTCTACATCTTCTAGTTACCCAAGATGAATTGTGTACCAAATATTGGTACTCTCTACATGTTTTAGTTACCCAAGATGAATTGTGTACCAATTGTTGATACTGTCTACATCTTCTAGCTATCCAATTTGTTGAAGTTGTTCTCTTTTCTCAACTGTGCAGATGATGTTGGTCAAAAAGCTTCCGTAACATGCAGATCACCAGGCTGAACTAGGCTGATATCACCACGACAGGGATCCACATGCTGCCATGGATCGCCATACACACTAAGGTCTTGTCTTCCTCCATGGATATGTTAAATATTACTGATCACAAAGTCAAGGAAACAGCTCACACACAAGTTGTTTTAAGCAGCGTATTTTGTGTACGCGTCATACAAAAAGTCTCTTAGAGATGGTACTTGTTACCCTGTCTGGCGTTCGGCATAGACGGAAAGAAAGAAGGACTGAGTCGGCTCGGAGTGAGTATAATGTGAGATTTTCTTGCCAAACTTCAGAATGGTATCTCAGTTGGCAACCATCATAGAACCGGCAAACATGCGGACTAGTACAAGCAGCCACACACTCACACACTCACACTCACACTCACGTTAAACTAAATTTACCCTCACGTCACCTAACCACGCATGTTAAATGGGTCATTTTGTGACACCTCCGTGCTTTATATACACTTTTAAACCTTGTCGAAACCCTAGTACTGAAACTGAGCAATGTTCTCATTGACTTGGAGCAGCACACACGCGGTATCAAACCTTGTTCTGGGCACCTTTCTTACACTGCAGGATTTTCGAAATTTTGAACATAAGTATCTAAATCCTATATCTGCCATTCTTTCGAGAATTAACACATGTTTCACGTCATAACATACCTTACTCAATATTGCCACAAGATAACGTGAGTTAGTTTAAGAATGCAGCTGATATAAGTAAAACTAAATGCCTCGATTGCCACCAAGCAAAGGTTGAGTATGCACTTGAATTCGGGCAACTTTAAAATTTGATCGTGATGTGCAAGTTTCCCCAATGAATTAAAACCAATTGGAGCAGTGGAGGGAAATGATTCGCTTTCGCCGCGGCCATCAGTAGTCTGTAACCTAGCGATTGGAACCTCACACTAAATTCTTGTCTTTCTTTATCGTTTCCATGGTCGAATGAGTACGTTTTAAGAGAGAAGCGGGATAGCTTACTGTAGTAATCTGATGCGAATAATACCATGACGGTGGCGGTCACTGATTCTGTTATTCTTTCTATGGTGCATAGGACATATGATATCTTCGGAAGTTCAATGCACTTTCTACCAAATATGATATTTTGAGCGTCTTTCGCTATGATCAAAGTGTACAGTAGTTGCGGCGATTTAGATTACTTGAAGGGCAAAATTGAAAATTATGGCCATAACAATATATCATCATTACAAGTACTAACAACTTCTTATCCTATCTGCGATATAAAAGTTAAGCAATTTTAAGAGCCAAAACAATTTCACAAAACAAAGTGTATGTCAATGGCTTGAAAAGAGCGAAAAGACAGTCTAATCTACCTTAACGTGCGTCCATGTTGGTCTTATAACATTTTGACTGCCACGGCTACTGTGCGATATACACATAGCCGGTGGACCACACACAGGCGGTCGACAATCATGTGACATTATGATTGTTGACCACCTTCAGCGAGTGACGACCACATAGTTCACAATTATAGTATTTATATATTCTAGACTTTAACTTTCAATCTTGAAAATTGTTATATTTTGTGGTACTACACATTACATCTGTTCAGTCGGTACTTGTATGTTTGCCAGTGTTGTAACCCGTCTTCGCAAAATGGCTGTGCTCAACTTCCAGACAGGAAATCGAACGAGTTGATAATTCCCACATCACATTAGGACACAGTAAGAGGCAAAATTTGTAAATCGAATAGAAATGTCAAACCAAACTATTCATGTTCAGCGATAGTTCAGCAGCTGAGGTTTTTCACTTGACTGACAAATTTGATCGATTCTTAAAATGACACGTTCGCGAAATCGAAAAGTTGAGTGAATATCACTAACAGTAATGCAAAAAGACAACCCGAATTTCTATGTAAGACACCCATT